TGCGACGTCATAGAACCTCATGTGAATAAAATAAATTTTAGAAAATGTTTTTTTGGGGTGGATTTTAGAAAATGCGGATTCTCCATGTTTTTTTTTTTTTGGTTGGGGGAGGAAGGGGGAAAAACTTTTATTAAAAAGTTTAAACGTTTTAATTCTTTTTTTTTTGTTTTTCGTCGAATCAATTTTAAAGTTTTTTAAAGTAAAATTTTATGTTGTTTGTAAATTTGTAAAGGAAAAGGAAAAAAGAAGGAGGGGAAAAGAAGGGGGTGGGAAAAGGTGCATTCAAAGGTTTTTAACATTAAAAATTGTTTTTTTAAAAAAATATCCGCTATTAAAAAACTAAAAAACGCATTTTAAATATTGTATGTGGAAAAAAAGTTTTTTTTTAACTTTCCTGAAATTTTAAAAACAAATTCGGGATGTCAAAAATGGGATGAAAGTTTTGCGAAAAAGAGAGAGAGAGATAGAAAATATTTTGACTTTTTAATTATTAACTAAAAAAAAAAAGGAAAAGTTTTTTATAAGCCGAAAATCCAAGTTTCGACGACTCAAATCGTTTTTATATATATATTTATTTTAAATACTTAAAAATCGTTTGTTTGTTTGTTTTTTAACAATCAAATGAAAAAGTTTTATGCCGTTTGTGTCAAGCATAAAATAAAGTGAAATGTAACAACAACAACAACAGCAAAAAAAAAGAAAGTTCAATCCTTAAATTTTTTAAATTGACGCAAAAAAAAAAAAACTTTTTTATTTTTTATTTTATTTTCTTTATCATCATCATTATTATTTTACTTAAACAAAAAAAACAATAAACACGTGTGTTAGGATCGTCGTTTGTTTTATCAAAATAAAAAAATTTTTTTTTTTTCGAGAAAAAAAAAGCGGATATTAAACGAATCGATCGATTTCCGATTTCTCCACGGTCGAGTTCCTGTTTCACCGGAAAAATTTTTCACAAAAAAAATAATAAAACGATGTTTTTTTTTAAAAAAATAATAATTAATCCGATAAAAAAAATTTTTTTATTTCGATCCGGAAACCTCACAAAAAAAAAAAAAAAAGAAAAACCGGAAACCTTAAATAAATTTACGAAAGGAAAAACAACAACAAACAATAAACAATCAAAGATTTTCCCGTATAGAAAAATAAATAAATTAAATTAAATTTTAATTTTAATTAATTAAATTTAAAAAGTTTTTTCGTCGTCGTTGTCGTGGTCGTGCCTGGAAACCAAACTCGGACCGCCGTACTGGACCGGATGGAAACGGGACCGGAAAATGAAATGACCTTGAAACGAACCCCCGGTAAAACAAAAAAATCGTGACCTTGAAATTTTCTTTTTTTTTTTTTTTTTTTTTTTAAAATAACAAACAAACCCAACATTTGTTTTTTCCTTGTTCTTTTTTTTTTTCCTCCATTAATCCATTATTTGTGTTCGAATTAATTATGGCACCCGAATGGCGACGATTTTATTAATTGATTGATTAATTTATTACTGTGATAAAAAGTTTTTTTTATATTACCTGACATTCGTAGGTACCATTGTCTCTTTTTTGAACGTATTTTATCTGGAGATTCCAGTCGTCGCCACCGTCCGTATGAGCAACTTGAAACCTTTCATCGTTCGTGTATGTAAACATTCCCGATGTTAATATATGCCAATCTCTTCGTCTAACCCAAGAAACCTTAACAAAAAACAACAAAAAAAAAATACATAAAATTACACGCAAAAACAAAAACAAAATGGCGGATTTTTTTATTATCATTTAACGATCTCTTTTATGTGTGCAACTTAAACAATATTAAAAAAAATCATTTATGAACTCCGCAGATTTTTTCCTCTTTTTCCTCCTCCTCCCCCTTCCCCCTCCAACTCTCGAAAATAAAATTTATTTAAAAAATAAAGTAATGATAATAATAATAATAATAATTTTAAAACTCTCTGACTTTTTCTTTTTAATAATTTTTTACTCTTTCCACCACCCGCAGTAAGGTAAACATTAAAAATAACGAACGGTTTAAATTTCCGTGAAAAAAACAAATTAAAAATTCTAATATTATTATTATTATTATTATTTATTTATTTGATATCGTGACGTGTGAAAGCGTAAAAAAAAAAAAAATTTCATTTAATTTATTATATAGCGAATTAATTTCACTGCGCGAAAATTTAAATTTACTATAAAATCAAAAAAGTTTTTTGAAAATTTCTTCTCACGGTTCAAATATTTTTTATACCTTTAATCATTTTATATTATTATTATTATTATTTCTTTAAAACAAACTCGACTACAACAACAACAAAACTATAAACAATAATAATATTAATAATTTACAAATGAAGTAGAAAAAATTTAATTTTACAGAACGGAAAAATAAATAATATTTAATATATAATTTTTCTTGAAAATATGCACACAACAATAAAAAATCCGTGAGGAAAAAAAAAAACTTTTTTCTTATGAATAATTCAAAATTATTGCAATTTTGTGGCATTTTTTTTTTTTTTTCCTGGGAAGGAGAAGGTAAAAGAAAAAAAAAATATGTGTCGTCTGCTAACTCAGAAAGAAATGAATAAAATATTTTACTAATTAAAATGCATTGAGAAAATTTATTTGAAAAGTTTTTAACTTTTTTTTTTCTTTTTTAGTCAATGAAGAATAACGATTTAATAAATTACTAAAAATAAATATTTCTAAAAAAAAAAAAAAAACGAGAAAAAAAAGAAAGAAAAAAATACCGTTTGTTCTTTTCTTTTTGGTCGTGTCAGTAGAAAAATTTAAAAAAAAAAAAAAAATTTACGTAAATGTAAATCGATCCGTGAGTTTTTTATTTTTTTTTTAATGTTTAAAACTAAAAATCGATCGATCCATCGCATTGTTTGTTTTAATATAACCACTACTACTTATTATTATTATTATTACTATTATTATTATTATAACTATTATTATTATTATTTTCTTTTCGTTAAACAAAAAATTAAACATTTTATTACTACCTTGAACCGACGGAACCTAAAAACGCGTTAATTTTATTTTTTTTTTACTTGTGCAACTCATGTTTGTAATAAAAAAAAATTTTTGTTTCATTTATTATAAATATTGTGTCGTATCATCATTATTATTATTATTATTATTAATAAAACAAGAAATAAAAAAGAAGAAAAAGGAATGAAAGAAACAACAGCGAGAGGGGGAAGGGGGATGAGATGCAACAATTTTAAGAAAAATAAAAAAAAAATTTTTAACACCGGTAAAATCATTAAAAAAAAAAAATTACATTGTTCAAATAGTAATAATAATAATAATAGAAATTATCGAGATAAAGTTAAACAAAGAAAAAAAATGTGGTAATAATAATAATAATAATGGTTAAAAAATTGAAACGTGAAAACCTAAAGCGAAGCCTCAGGTGTCCTCTTTTTTTTGGTAAAAATCAAAAATGATTTTAAACGTACGTGATTCGTATTAATGGTCGACGATTTCAGGTTAAAATACGTCAAAATAAGTTTTAAAAAAAATTTTTGAACACGTTTTTTAAATTGACAATAATAATATGACTTGATGACTTTCAACCTGTATGTGCGTGTGTGCGTGCGTGCGTGCAACGTGGACGTGTGTAAACCCGTATGAATTGTCGTCGTTTTTGTTTTTTTTTGTTAAATTATATGCGCGCCAAAACCAGAGAAAACGGAAAAACCACCGTTGTGTCATCAGATAATTTTAAAAAAATGTCAGAATATTCGTTTGAAAAGAAAACCCCATTTTTTTTTCTAAAAGTTTTATATTTCTCTTTGTGATTTTTTCGAATCCTTGTCATGATGAATATTAATAATAATAATAATAATATTGTTGTTTAAATCAATAAAAAAATTAAAGTTTTAAAAATTGATTTTTAAAAATAAATAAATAAAAAAAAAGTAATAAAAAGTGAAATCGTATTGAGAGAAACGCAAAAAAAAAAAACCATAGACGAAATTTAATACATAAAAAAAAACAACCACAGACATTCAACGTCTCTTACGTCGCCATAGACAATAAAAAGGAAAAAAAAATTGCGTTGAAAAAAACATAAAAACCTTATTTAAGTCAATAAAAAAAAATAAAAACTAAAAAAAAAAAAAGAAAAAAGAAAAAGGTCAATTTGAATAAATTTATTCTGACTTTTGGCGTGTGCGTGTGTGTATGCAAGTGCGTGTGTGCGTGCGTGTGCTCGTGTTTATTCCAACGTTAATTACGTCAGATATTAACTTTTGTCAAATAATAATCTCAATTTATAAAAACGAAAAAAATTTATTATTATTATTATTATTATTAATTTTTTTTTGGGTGAATTTTTAAGAAGAAAAAAAAATTCCAGAAATTTCTTTTGATAAAAAAAAAAAAAATCTCTGGAAAATTTAATTTTTATCCGATAGAAAAAAAAAAAATTTATAAAATAAATAAATAACAATAATGATAATAGAAGAGAAAAAGTTTTTTTACTGATTGACGTAGTCTTTTTCTTCGTATAAATATTAGTCAAAAAAAAATCTTTAATATCTATATATTTATGTGAAATCTTGCCGATTCATTGAAAAAATGAAGGAATAACAACAAAAACTTGCTTTTGTTTGCGAGGTCACGTTTTAAGTTTCTTTAATTTATAGCATCTCAAAAAAAAGGAAAAAAAAGGAAAAAGAAAAAAGGAAAAACCAAAAGCAGACGTTTTAAACGTCAAGTAAATTGAAAACTTCAAAAAATAAATTTTCCTCTTAATTTTTAGACCCCGAAAAATTTTATTTTGTCTTTTTCTTTTTTTTTTTTCATTCTACTTCCTATTTTTTTTTTGTTTCCTTTGTCTGTTTTCTCCTTTTTTCTACGAAACAAAAATTATTCCGAAAATAAAAAATTCAATTAATTAAATGTTTTCCTTTTTAGTAATTATTTTAATACTCCCGATTCGACGATTATTTCTTCTCCTCACATTTACAATTAAAATTTTTTTTTTTCACTTAAAGAGAGAGGAGGAGGAAACGGAAATTCGATTAATTTCCGGTATTTTTTTTACGTAATTTTATTATTATTATTATTATTATTATTTTTTCATTATTTGTTAACTTGTTAAATTTTCAACTCGATTCCTTTTCAACGCAAATTAAAATAAACAAATAAATAAACAAATATTTATTTTTGTTACGAAGCGTTAAAAGTGAAGGTCAAAGGGCAAAAAGGTTTTCATTCATCCCTAGAGAGAGAGAGAACCAAAAAAAAAAAAAATTTCCGCTATGTTTTTTATCCATCGATTATTTATTTATTTATTTTTTATTATTATCATTATTTTAAAAAAAATTTTCACCTTTACTAAATTTTCCGATTGAACTCTTGAATAATAATAATGATAATAAAGTCATGAAGTCGTGTAAAAAAACGTCAATTCGAATTCGTTTAAATTAAATGTTAATTAAATTTTTGGAAGGAAAAAAAAAAAGGATTTGCGTCACTTTTTGTAGTGTAATTAGATAAATCTTTTCATTTTCCCCGCATTCGCCTTTAATCTATTTTAAACGTTTCATCGTGTAATTTGATATCGTTAAAATTATTAATTTTATTATTTAAATATATCTAATATTTATTATTAATAATAAT